TTTGACCTCTAAAAATGTTACTTCGGATTTTGAAAATTCATAATGGTTAAAAAAAAAAAGGCTTCTACAAATTTAATGCTCAGAAAAATTTTATTTTCTGTTCAAATTACATACAAATATACAATCAAGTTAAAGGTTCTTAACATAATTCCTGAAGTAGCTCCTTCCAAACTTTTTCCAGAGAAACGTTCTGAGGGAAGCCTTGAGGTGAAGTCCACCCCCTCTTCCGCTTACTTACATTATTATCTTATCCTCAATGCTATTTTTTCACACCTTTTCTTTCTAGACTTATTTTATGATATTTTATTTTAAGGGGAGGAGGTATAACTAAACTTCCTTTCTTGCTTCGTAACTTTTCTCACACCCTATTCTGATATGATAGCTTGAGGCCATAAGCTGAAACTATGACTTTATCTTTTAGTGTACTTTTTTCATTTTTGATTCTTTTTTTCTTCTTCTTTTCGGTACTGTTTTTATGTATGCTTTGGGGGTCTTTGTAATAAGGTATTTGTTTTAAATAGTTGGATGAGAAAAGATTTTGTTTTCCTGTGCATTACACGACACATTGAGCTTTTAGTAAGTTGTGAAAAATGGCGATGTTTCAAAGTGAAAGATGCTGTATTAAAAACTGATGCAAGACCGTTATTGCTTTCTTGTACGAAGGAACTTGCTTTAATAATAGTTAAGTTTAAAACACTATTTCATAAAAACAGCTTTAATGTTTTATACCAATCTTATTAAAATAAAAAAACATTTCATTTAAAAAAAAATTTTTTTTTAATCTTCTCATCTATTTATAAAGCACAAAATCATTACGAAATATCCCGGACTCTACTCTGTTTTTTTACTTTTTAAAACGTAGAAATATCCAATTTTTTGTGCTTTTTATTTACATCGCTCTAGAGATGCGCAATGAGCTATTGGCGACGGTCTTGGAAGCATCCCCGAGGATGATCCAGTGACGTCATAGATACATCACACCTCGTTTTACAAGGAAGGCACATTTACACACCATCCATTCATCCGCAGATTGCAATTTTGACCTAAACCAGAGCACGATCAATCTCTGATCCAGTTCTCTCAGAGATATTTATTTGTTATTGGAACTTCTGTGTCCCCGAACAATTTTACGTGCATCAGTTACCATTTTGTTCACGGTGAGTCTTTGGCCGACGGTAATTGAACTCAACACCTCTCGGATGTGGACGCATTGTCCTACTCCTCCTGCCTTTTTGTAACTAATATTATCCCCTTTTAATTCCTTTGGAGAAAAAAAAATAAGGCCTTATTTGAATAGTGGCACAACTCTAATTCCACCGAGGAACTATTTTTTTCAATTTCTCACTCTCCTGTATTTGATTTTTCAACAGATCATAGGTATTTTTGTATAGTTGATTCCAAATCTAAAGTCAGTTTCTATCTCCAAGTTACAATTTTTCTTAAATGAAAATTTTAGTCTATATTTGTGTCGAAATGTACAAGTTTTAAAGCTTTATAAACAACTGGGAATCGAGTAAATATTGCAACAAATCTCTTGCTGAGTTAGAGCGCATCATTAGGATTAAAATTTCATAGGAATCCATGCCCGGAAAGTCATAAGAAGTTAGGGCTGTTTCTTCGTGAGCTTCTGAACAGGTCATAACAGGAAAGTACTTCTAGCCACGTAGGATGACATTTATGGACATGGTTTCCTATTTAATTTCAGTCTTGATGATGTGCCCTAATTCCCTTAAAAAATCTGTCGCAATGTTTACGTTACCCAATGTTATACATAAAGCTTTTAAGCTTGTACATTTCTACAGAAATTAGACTGAAAATATCAATTAAATAAACTGTAGCCTTAACGGAAAAAATTCAGATTTGAAATCCACACACCCAATTTAGGCAAGACGAAGTATTTATAAACATGCAGCAAAAAATTTCTACTCTAGCGCCGTTCAAAAAATGGCGCTATAAATATTATACTCATACAAAGTCATTTCTAACTTATTTTATTACTAGTAAGCAGTTTAAGGATATGGAACTGAATAACTAAACAATAACAAGATATATAAAACAGAATATACTTTCAAAGCTTCCAGACGTAATCCCTCCGCTTATGTTATGTCAATTAGTCGACGTTTGCATAGGCTGAATATTCAAAGGGATCTTATGATTTGTAATTTTACCATTCATACCATTCATTTTTACTAATCATTTACGCTTTCATTTACCTTTCATTTTCCGCAATTTATAAATTCTAAGAGGCTGTAAACCGTTAATCGTTTTAAGAAAATTAATATCACAACATCAATAAGGCATAAGGTGTGACGTCGATTGAATGTTATCCCTTATTTGGTTACATTTGAGTAAAAGTTTGTTATGTTTGGGTACACTGAGAAAAAAAAGTACGATCAAGACTACCAGAATATGGTAAAATATACCGTTTTTCAGGATCTATGGAAACACTAAAATGCTTGGTTATTTTTAACGAACCATCGTGGTAATGATTTTGGCAAAATGAGCAATGTAATAAGGTTTTATAATATGTAATAAAATTTGGTAAATGAGGCAAATTTAGCAATGGTAAATTTAGCAATTTAATCGCGATTTCTCAGAGCATGGTATAAAACCATTTAGTTTGTTAAATGTACTTTCAGTTTTGTATTTTTCAATAATATGGGGTAATAAATAATAATATTTTGAAATCTAGAATTTCCGGTAAACTGTTACAATATGAACGGTAATATTACCAAATACATGATTTAAATATCGTGTATTTTAGTTTTTATTACCAGAATTGCGTTATTTTTTATCATAAATGTCATTAAAATACAGTACAGTAGTAAGACTAGAATTATTTTCGTCTTTTATCATCATTGCTTGTAGAGTAGTCCGAATTCCTTGGTAGTCATCCAGTTTGTTTTTTTGTCCAATTTGCAAATTGAAAGAATGTGTTAAAGTGTAAATACTACAAGCATAATAAGCATTTTAAGACGCACTTTTTCAGGGTATAATATTTATAATATTGATAAATATTTATAATATTGATATATAAAAATATCTATATATCAATATTATAAATATTTATATATTAATATTATAAATATTTATAAAGTTTATAATATAATATTTATATCTATAATAGTTATAATATTTATATTATAAATATTATAAATATTTTTAAACAAAAATTTAATTCTAATGAATGCATTTTGCTACTAATAAAAAAAATCATCCAGTTGAAATGGTAAGGTTTTCAGTCATATTAAAACATATAAAAGAAATAATAGGTTTTTACTATGTTGTAAACTATTTACAAGGTAAACGGAGGTCTACAAATCAGAAAATTTACAGCAGGTAATAATGTGTCTGTAATGTAACACTATGAGATGAGTACGCTAGAGATGTCTAAAAAGAGTGTTTTGAGATGGTATAATAGCCATTCGTTTAAGAATATAACGGAAATATTGTACTGAATTTCGATCAATATTCTTGAAACAATTTTTTTATTAATTTCCCTAACTTTCGTTGAGAGGCCGCTAAATCACCAATTGACGCTACTGGTGTTAATTACTTATTGTAATAGGCATTCTGTAAACAACTACGACTCAAATTATGGTAAAAATTACCGGCACTCTGAGTGCCGTTGCGTTTTGCTGTAAAATCATAATTATTATTGAGAATATTTAAATGTTTAAAAATATTTTATTGAATACAAGGTGTGTAGCTAATGTTATAACGCATCAATCAGTTAGGCAATAATTTCTATAGAAATATTTAGTTATTCTCATATACAAATACTTAAGTGTGCTTTAAAACATAAACATATGAAAATACATTAATCCACTTTGTAACTTACTTTAAAATATTTCAAAAAGTTTCTAAAATTTAGAAGAGCGAGTATTTAAAGTATTTTACATTTTAAATAAAATAATATTTCCCTATCAATCATTTAAACAATCCTTACAATAGAAATAATTAATTGCTTTCATATACAAATATTTAAATGTGCTTTAGAACATACTCATACAAAAGTTCATTAATGTACTTTATAACTGTGTGGCTATCATATCAATCATTTAATCAATCCTTTCTATAGAAATGTCTAATTGCCCTAGTTTACAAATTTTTAAATGTGCTTTGGAAAATGCAGATACAAAAATATAATAATGTGCTTTATACTTACTTCATATTTTTTCAAATAAATTTTTAAAAATTAAAAGAACATCAGTTTAAATTATTCCACATTTTAAATAAATGAAGATTTCAATATAATTTGGTGAGTTTAAGGTGTGTGCAGCTTATGTTAAATGGTACCAATTATTTAAACAATCTTTCATATAGAAATATTTACATGTTCTCATATACAAATATTTAAGTGCACTTTAGAACATACACATAGAACAATGCATTAACGTACTTAATAACTAGTTTAAAATTATTTCAAAGAAATTTCTAAGGATGAGAAGGACGTGTGTTTTAATTATTTCACAGTTCAAATAAAAGAATATTTCAATATAATTTGTTTAACATAAGCTGTGTGATATTACATTAGTAATTTAATCAATCATTTCTAGGTAACATTTAATCGTGCTCTATAGTAACTGCCCATAATATTAAAATGTTATTTATTAATTATATCTAAATATATTTCAAAATTGATAAGAACGGGTTTTTAAATTATTTCCCAGTTAAAATAAAAGAAGATTTAAGATAATCTGTTTAATATAAGCTGTGTTGTAATTTGATCTTACTTTAGTAATTTCAGCAATCCTTTGTATGAAACATTTAATCATGCTAAAGAATAATTACGTAACATATTAAAATGATCGTATAAACGTTGCGTATAATGTTATTAATATTATCCTTTTCGTAAGTAAAGCTAAATCGAAAGATCATTCATGAACTGCAAGTAAAGAAGACAATTGCCGCTGGATGCCGCTGTTAGCATAGTTTTGTCGGCGAAATCCAGAGGAAAAAAGGAAAATCCCCCTACAACATAGTTCCGATCTCCGCGAATCAACCCAGATGCCGCTTGAACGGCGATAGAGTAAAGTTGAGTTGGGTGCCGTCCTCTGTATTAATCACGAGAGAAGTTGCTCCTTAACAATAGCGATCATATATTCAAATTATTTACGAGTTATTTAGTGGCAACGGTAAATTTTTACCAAAAAAGATTATTTTCTTTATCGTTTGCGTTTTTTATTGGTGGATTTTTTTTAAATGTGCGTGAGGATTACAAATGGATAGTGTGGAACATCGGAAGTTTGTGAAAGAATTTTAATATCGTTTGGAATTTCGCTTAAAATTGCTAAAGACCGTTCGGCATGGCCGACCCGCAAACGGTCATAGAAGGAACATTGAAATACAGAGATAATAAGAAGGTAATATTTTATGAAAATAAAAATGTGAATAAATATTTGAAAAAATATATATATATATACTCACCAGAACCAAAATCAATTTAGTTTTGTTAAATATATTATTGTCCCCATAAAAAAGGGTTCTATTAAAAAATATTTTTCTTTGCAGTGGAAACCAAGGTGGTGCGTTATAAGGAAACTATCACCAGTGGCAGGTTAGAGTTTAATTCATTTTTGCTTAAATTGGTTTAAAATAATGTGCAGGTATTTATTAAATCTTCAATACTAAAAATGAATGCCGTGTTTTCTCCGAGATAGTTAGTTAATTTTAGTCAAAGCTTTTTACTTTAATTTCTTTAAAAAAAAATTCTGTCGTCTACTCAGTAGTTGAATAAACACTTTTATTATTTAATTATCAGTTTCTGTTTTAATTTATTTTAGAAATTTTTTATATTAAACTTTACTTTGCGAATTAACATTTAAAATTTATAAAAAAAACATATTTTTAAAGAAACTTGGCTATATCAAAAGAAAAAAAAACTATTTATTTTTACATATTTAACCAATGGGGATATATTAAGTTTTATTATGACTTCAAGAATTGTATTTTGTTTTTTTATCTTTTCACTTGATTTTTTTATTCAAGTTTGTAAAAAAAATTATTCATTTACATTTTATTCAAAAGAACAAATTTACCGTTTCTCAAATATTGGCAGAGTGTATTGTATACAACAAACATTATATAAAAGCTCATTTTTATTAACTAGTATTTAAAATTAGGTTGAACAGTTGTATTTTCAAAAATAAATGATAGTTACAATTATATATACAATATAATTAATATTTTTTTACATTAAAAAATAAAATAATAAGTTAGCCTGCCGTGTTCATTTGTTTGATAAATTTGTTTTCATTTGTTTGATAAATGACTTACTTTTATTATATATCACGAAAACGTCACTAAAACAAAAACAAGTTTAATTTTAATGATAGAAAAATTTATTATATATTGTTTGAATAATATTTATTTCAATTTACATTTCCTTTCTTGTAACTGATGCTTCATAATCAAGCTTGAATATTTATATATTTAAACCTACAATTGTTATGCATATTAAATTAAACTTTTTACAATTTATTTAGTACCGAATATTCCATTACTTAAAACATAAAAAGTTTCATAGCCTTAACAAATATATAACAAAATAAAATAGTCAGTAAATATTACAGCTGTACTTAAATTTGCATAAAATCTATTTATTTTAAGAAAATGAATAAAGACGGAATTCAAAAGAGTAAATAAATATGCAATTAGTCTTACACCTCTTTTTAATTCAGAAAATACTCTGATTTTGTTAAAATAAATGTTATTTTATTATTAAAAAAATCTCTTTGAAAAAGGAGAAAAAAATATTACAATGTTCAACGATGCAATTTCAAACGATGACTTTAATAAATTAAACTTTTTAAAATTGGTTTGCTACAAAATACCATAATTTAAATGGAAAAAAATATACTAATAAATAAAGCAGCATTTTATTGGTATGCATATTGCTTACATATTTTAATTTGCTTTTCTTTTTAGATTTTGCTAATTTCATGTTTTCTTTAACTCAATTAAAAGTTAAATTCTTAATTAATTCAATTTTGTTATTGTTTCATTTTCAAAAGTTACATTTTGATTTAATTATGATTTATTTTTATTTTTGAACTTGCATTATGTTTTAATTTTACAGAAATGTTGTTATTGAATTAGGATGAGACCAACGGATGAAATCATAATGAAATCTGCATCAATTAGCTCTTAAAAGTTCAAGATTATATTAAAGAAACTAAATAAAAGTCATTTTGTTTTTCCTTAAATATACTTGTTATATTTTTGTTTGTTTCTAATTGCTTCACTTTAATCAGTTGCAATTTGTTTTGTTATTTTGTATAAATTTTATTTCACATTATTTAAGTAGTTAAAAGAATTGCAGAAGAAGAAAAATATAATATAGTGAAAGAATATATAATTTATAAGATATAATTTTTGCTCAAAATTAAATACTATAAACATTTATGTCCTTTTTATATCTTTAGCAATTGGTAGTAAATTAATAACTAAAATGCTAATTTTTTGCTGAGAACTTTAGTAAAACATATAAATTTTAGATACGGTTTTTACATTCAATTTTAGGGAACGCAAATTGTATTGTTAAACACTATATTCTAAAAATTAGATTTTAATTGAATATTAATTATCATAATTCTGTTATTATTTCATAATACTGTATTTTAGTATTTTAAAGAGCTTCAGAATTCAAAAATTTTTCAAATAATAGAAATTTTTCAACTATCACAGTTACTCAACACTAGAGTTATTGTATTTAAACTAGTTTGAGAAAATTTTATCTATCGATAAGCAGCTGCATTGGCGTCGGTCAGCTTAATTGGCAAAGTTTCCCTCAAAATTGGTATTCTTAATATTCCGTGTTTTAATCATGCTTAATCGAGTATACGTTTCCATTTCGAAATTTTTTCACAATTTAAAGAACATGCTAAACTACAACTAAGCTGCAATAATTATTGTTGAAATGATTCAGCTCTTTATCTTAAATTAACTTTAAATTCCTCAATTAATTTCATTTTTAATGTCCATCTTATCTATCTTTTAATGACTTCTTATCAAGAAAATTAATCTATCAAAAAATTTGCTATTTGTTTAGCATAAAATAGAACCCATAATTTATGACAAACGTTAAGTGTGACTATCATAGATCTTAAAAGTTTGTAATTTCACCAAATATATGATTATTTCCATATATTTATTAATTTAAAAAATTAAAATTAATATTTTAAAACCGAAAAAATAACGTAAGCATCAGCATAGCTTTAAGATTCCAGTACACAGAAAAAGTATGTTAAAAAATGCCAGAATATGGTAGAATTTACCATGTTTCTCGCACTATAGCAGCACCAAAAAGTATGATAATTTTCACCGAAGGTCCTGGGTAATGACGTTTGATAAAATTAGTATTAAAATATTTTTTTATCATCCCGCTTGGTAATAAATCTTGTTTCTTAGGAATTTGTTTATGGATTCATTTACTTAGAATTTTTCTCAAAGCAGAAGACAATGGCTACTCTTTTCTATTTTTAAATAGTAATATCCACAAAAATTACTACTGTCGAACGTATCTAATAATTACATATAAACTTCGACGTTTGAAACGATAGTATTCTTGTTCTAAACTACTTATGGTATTTTGTCAGTCATTTAGTCATTGATTGCACATGTAATGTGCATATTATCGCTCGTAATATCGTAAAGTGTATATTATCGCTCGTAATATCGTAAAGAGTATATTATCGCTCGTAATATCGTAATGTTTAATGCGTGTTTTATCTCTCGTATCAGTTACATGCATTTTTTAGATATATTTTAGAAAGGTTATATATTAGGAAATTTCTTGGTTTCAGGTAAGGTAACTGCTTTATAGGGAACGGATTACACCTGATTAAGATGTTGACAGAGTGTTGTAATATATAATTTTTTTTTATCAGGAAGTTAAAAAAAAATTAAAAGTTCAATCTTGATAAATATATCGTTGCTATTATTTCTAAATATCTCCATTTATCAAAGATAGGATTTTTTCGTTCCCAGTATGCGGAAAAGTGATATACGTAATTAACAGTCATGCTCTATTAACTACAAATTTCTAATTGTGGAATATAAATTTGGACTAAAAAAATTAATCACTTAAATTAAATTCGTTGGCAGGGTTAATAAGGCAAAAAGCGAATTGAAAAAACAATTAAGTGCCATATATAAAATCAAAATATAAAATTAATAATATCAATAAGTTATTTGTTTACAGTACATTAAATGTTACATTATTATTATTATATAGAAAAATTTAATTTTTTAGTGATATAATTAGATTCAGAAAAATAATACTTTGTTTACTTTCATTCAAAAAAAGATTTACGGAGGCAGAGTCAGATATATAGTGACAAATTTATAAATGTCATGTTCGTGTTTATTTTTTTTTTTAATTTTAAATGCGTGGTTGTTTTATTAAGTTTTCTTACATAAATATCATCTTAGAAACAACTCATTTGTTTTTATAAGTATTACTTCATATAACAAAGAATAAATATACCGTTATTAAATAAATTTTTAAGAAAAATAACATTTATTTTTTGAAAGTATCAAAAATGATTAATTTTTCAGTCTCTAAATTGGTTTCATTAAATTAAAATTTTAGATTATGGTATTTAGACTATGAAAATAAATGTTTTGAATTTATTTTAAATGTAAATAATATATTAATACAACTCAGGAAAGTTTTGAATAAGGATTTTTGGCTGAACAAGTGCAAACTAATTGTGATTATCTTATAATTTAAGACTGATAAACTGTTTTCTTTTATAAATTTATCTATGTTTAAGTAATTTATTTCCTTCTCAAATTTTCTATTGATTATGCCGTGAATAAATGTTTTACTTTGCTGTAAAAGTACCGGCACTCAGTGTGCAAAATCCGTTTTTACTGCAGCATATTATGAAACAGAAAATCTGATGTGCCATAATAATTATCTTAAAATCCCTGAATGAATTGTATTAAATCAATATCTCTGCAAAAATTACGGTAAAATGTACTTTACGGATCTTACACCCCAAAGTACCAGAACTTTTTACCGTAATTTGATTCGGAATTTTTTTACAGTGTAAGAATTTTTATTCTAAAACTGTTTTTATTTAAATTGAAAGACTTCAAGTGAGAATTACACATATTGTTATGCAAAGTAATAAAGTTTTCTTATAATTAAAAGGAACTAAACTAGAAGCATTATTATCAAGAAGTTTGATGTCATTTGTGGACAAAAGGCTGTTTATTATTGCAAGCCCTTTAATCGTGATTTTGTTTTTAAAAAAAACCACAACCCTTTTTTTTTAATATTTTACAATTTATATATGTTGTTAATATATTTATCGTGTTTCAAGACTCCTAAATAATAGCACATACAAATTTTCTTTTTCTTAGATTTTTTTTGTGAAATGGCAATAGTAGTATCGTTCTTTATCCTATTCTAGGCATTTTCTTCATGACAGCCTTATTTCTTTTAAATTAAGTATCTACAATGTAAAAATTTCTAGATCAAATTACGGTATATAAAGTACCTTAAACCAAAATTTTATCTGGAAATTTTTACTTTTATTTATTTTGAAGTGGATTGGATGTGCTACATATTTTGTATCTTATTAAACTGTAGGGGAGAGTGGGGTCAATTGTAACAGGTTACGATTGTAACACAGCAAAAATTTCGAGTGTCGGGTTCTAGATTTGGTTCCTAGGTGGCGCACAAGGTGTATTTAATAAATCTACATGTACACCCCTGATGGCAATCATTTTTATGTACTTTTGAAAGAGTTAGATCCCAAAAGATATTTTCACGCCACGCAAGTACTTTTTTTGGTATTAGAATATTATATTGTAACAAAGTAATTTTGTTTAAACAAATAAAAATTAGTAACCGAATATGTAAGTGGACACCTTAATTAACATTTCAATAAAAAAAAAGATTAGTTTTGCTAATTAACTAGCATTGTTTTTAACAAATGAAGCTGAAATGGCGTCTTGGGGACAATTGTAACAATAAGTAAAGGGACGATTGTAACAGCTGAAAATAAATAATCTTACGTTTACAAACCATTTATATTATGTTGCATGTGCATTATTTTATTTGTCACCTTTCACAGCATAAATTAAAATTTTTAACCCCTTAAAGTTAAAAGCTTAACCCTTTAGGTCTCTGCTCATTATTATTTTTACTCCTAAAATATCACTACTATTTTGATCAATAAAGAAATATATCACAACTATGATACTATGTATAATTAACTATGTTTTAGTTGAATTTATGAACTGTTACAATTGACCCCGTAAGTGGGGACAATTGTAACAAGTGCTCGACTGTCAAAAATTGTTAATAACTAATATAATAACATTTAAAATTAGGCATTTATTTTTTTTTCTAGTAGAGGATAGTCTACTTTACTCGTCTGTCAATTAATACTAATAATATATTGGTTTTTTTGTTAGTTAAAAATAGTTAAGTAAAAAATGTTACAATTGACCCCACTCTCCCCTACTATTTTGTCATCTAATAAATTTTACATAATTGCCTTTAGAGATTTTTTTTATTTATTACTTTTATCAAATGTTTGATATCAAAATTGTATGATATTGAATTAATTTGTTTTTATTTTTAACATTTCACGATGAGTACTGGTATTCACATTTAAGTTCATATTTCTATTCAATAGAGATTATAATATCTATGTTTTATGAAGTTAATATAAAAAGCTTTTAGAAAAGGTAGATGTGTGCTGAATTTATGTAGAAGTTGTTCGAAATGTTGAAATTCTTAAATTTAAATTCAAAATGAAAGTGAGTTAAAATAATAAATTCGATGCAGCTACAATTTAAAGGTACAAATTTAGATAATTTGAAAGAAATTGTTTTTCTGAAAATTTGCTCGAATTTCTCTTGATATCATCACTTTTCTATTTTCTTATTTCAATGCTTTTAATTAATCAATTAAACTACGCTTGCCGATGAGTGTGCATTTAGTATACAGTTATTACCTAAATAAAGTATTTATTTGTGTATAATCATATTGATCACAACTAAATAATTAATCTTCCTTTTGCTCTTTTCTATTTGTTGTTATGATATGGTCTTATACTTAAACAGTTTGATTATGTCAGAATCCATTCCCTGTTTTACTGTAAAGGCCGTAGTCTAGGATTTACCATAGCAGTTCAATAACTTCTAAGTATTACCCAGAAGGCTTGATGAAAGGTCGAAATGAAAT